TTTAATATTTTTCTTTTATTTGAGTGACTTGGGCTGATATCACGGCTCTCCCCTTGACTTTGATCTGTCAATATGGCTCTTTTGAAAAAAAAAAAAAGTGAGGATCACTGCTCTAAATGCTTTGGTTCAGTGGCGGACTAGCCATTGGGAGCACCGGGACATTTCCCGGTGGCCTGGTGCGCTCAGTGATTGCCGAGGGGCTGGACTAAAGGCTCGGTTCGGGTTGCGCGTGATTATTTTAAATAAACAATCCATGCCGCTCATCTTGTTCACTCAGATATCACCTCCCACAGACTGAACAGTAGCAATGGGGAAAGACAGATGCACCCCCTCCTCTTCTTCTGAGGCTGTCTTTTATAGCAGAGCAGAGACACACAACAGGTTGTGTGCCTGCCCCCATGGCCCGTAAAGATTCGCGCTCACGAGGGTTATATGTTTGCGCACGCATCTCTGTACGTCCATCTTTTCTCCGGTTTGGGTCATATAGCTTGTAGAATGGAGCGAGAGAGACAGCCAGAGAGGAAAGGTGGAGCAGAGAGGGTGAGGATAAAAAAAAGAAAAGCACTGGCCACTTATGCTCTGGTTGGTCGCCTTCCATCAATCAGCCAATTGTGTGTCGTGTATACAATCTTACATTGAAAACCCGCAAAACAGTGAACCGCGAAGTACTGAGGGACTACTGTATTGTACCTTTGTTTAGTTTACATTTTCATTAACACATTTCATGCATTTTCTTTGTAACACGTAATCCAGAGGTGAACTCTTGGATAGTGTGTGATGGAGACATCGATCCAGAGTGGGTTGAAAGCCTGAACTCTGTCCTCGATGATAATCGGTTGTTAACCATGCCCAGTGGAGAGCGCATCCAGTTTGGACCCAATGTTAACTTCCTGTTTGAGACTCACGACCTCAGCTGTGCCTCACCTGCCACCATATCCCGCATGGGCATGATCTTTCTTAGGTCAGTCAAACTTTGAGGAGAATTTCAGTATTCCTTTGTCTCCATCTTACTTACTCACCATTATTTTCTCTTTGGCTATTCTTGCTTACATTTGAAGTGATGAGGACATTGATGTGGGTGCTTTGGTGAAGTCGTGGTTGAGACGACAACCAGACGAGTGTCGCAGTAACTTAGAAAACTGGCTGGGAGACTATTTCCAAAAAGCTCTAAACTGGGTTCTTAAACAGGTATCATGTTTATCATCCTATCAACGAACGCTGTCTCACAAACTGTCAAAATCTATAACTGTATTGAATTTAAAACATATTTTGTACATAACATTTTTGCCTTCATGGTAGAGATTTCAGCTTGCATGTATTAAAAAAGCACCAGTGTTTGCTTTGATCGCTAAAATATAAAACTTGCTGTATTACTCCTGATTAATGGCCAGTGTTTATTATGATAGTTGTAACTGCAAATATTATACATCATTATGACAAATCAGTAGACCCTGTTAATTCTATTAATGGCTTTGTGTAAGTGTTTGATTTTTATCACTTTACAACCATATACATCTTGTTGCGTTTTCTCTTTGGACACTAGAATGACTTTGTGGTTGAAACTAGCCTGGTGGGTACTGTGATGAATTCCCTGTCACATCTGAACGCTGTGAATGAAAGGGGACAGTTTATCATTGGTCTTCTGAGGGGCATGGGAGGGAACCTCAACATTAAAACACGACATGAGCTTGCAAAGGAGGTGAGGATCCTTTTGTATTTCTAAGCGAAAATGAACAGCAGATCATTTCTTAGGATCTCAATTGTTATTTTTTACTCCTATTTTAATTTTTTTTTTTTTTTACTTTTTCAGTTGTTGAGCTGGGCGAGGGAAAGTCCACCAGATGCCAGAAAACCACTCGATACTTATTATGATTCTGTCAATGGCCAACTAGCAGCTTACACATTCCAGCATCCTGAGGATCTCACATTGGATCAGTTCTTTCACACACACATGTTGCCCGTTATAGAGACTACTGGCACGCAGAGAGGTCTGCACGGTTTTTCTCCATGGCTTACAACTCAGCATAGACAGCCCTTCATGGTGGTTGGACCTGAGGGATGCGGAAAGGGGTAATTATGCATATTTTATAAAAACATGATAACCAAACCGACAAATAACTTGAACAACGATAAGCAGTTAGGGGCACAAACACTTGAAATATTCTTTGCTGCATACAAAGAAACTGTGTACTTATTCCCATAAAAGCAAAACTGTATGCAAAACTAAAACTAATACTTGTATCCATCCTATTTGACATCAAGTGATTGATTAAAATCTTTTATCCAATGGGAATCTAATTCAGTAGTAAAGATTACCCTGCTGAAATGTCATGTTCTTCCTGTTACAGACAGGCTAAGAATGTAGTATGTGTGTGGGGTGTGTGTGTGTGTTATTCAAAGGTGTTGAAGACAGGTTCTCTTAACTGTGGCCCCTAAAACGGCAAAAGATACACAGTAAAATCAAAGCAACTTTAATATTTGACCTTTCTTGTGAATGCAGTGACAGCTCAGAATAGGGGATCTGCCTGACTTGTCTGCATGTGATTCTTGTGCTCAGGCTTGTGTGTATGTGTAAACCTGGAGTTGCTGCTTCAGAAGTAATTGCCTCACTCCTCAGAGACTTGAAGAACAATGGTCACTCGGCTTGACTTTTACACTTGAGTTGATTTTCAGTCTTTTCTTTTCCCATACCCTTGACTTGTATCACTTTGTCTGAAAGGTTGCTGTGCCAGTGAGTGCACTGGACTTGTCATCTTATTCGTTTGGCAAAACAACATTCAGTTTCTTTACACACAATACAAAACAACAAGTGTGCAGCATGATCTATATTTCCAGTTTTGTTGCAGCCTCATAAAAATGTCTGTCTCTCTGTCTATCTTTCTGTCTGTCTCTCTGCCTGTCTGATTGTGTTTGTCTGTCCAACAGCCATTTACAAAACTTTTTGGATCTTAAGGACAACAAACACATGCATGCACGCACCCCCAACCCGTATACAGCATTTTGGATCAATTGAAGGCTTAAAATACATTTTTGGATGCCCATATTATAAACAATTGCAATAGTTTAGCCTAGATGTGATAAATGCATAAACCAGTTTGTCTGCATAATTTTTGGACAAGATGTTTCTAATCTTAGTGATATTATGCAGGTAAAGGAAAATTATCCTGGTAACTTTTTAATGTGGGAGTTAAAAGACCTAACCTGTTAAAAAAAAACACCAATGTTTTTTACATTAGAATGGGAGGCCAGATTATCGGTAATGCCATCCAAAGGAAGTGAAAGGCTGCAAAGTTTATTCCTAAGATGATCAGTTTCGAAAACCACAACCTTTGTCTTGTCTGAGTTTAAAAGTAGAAAATTAATGGTCATCCAGGTTTTCATGTCTTTACGACATGCTTTAAATCTAAGTAACTGTTTGGATTCATGTGGTTTCATTGATAAATATAACTTGAGTATAATCAGCATAGCAATGCTCTTTAATAACTTTACCTAATGGAAGCATATATAAAGTAAAAATTATTGGTTCAAGCACTGAACCCTGATGAATTCCACGATTAACTTTGGTGTATGAAGAAGATTCATTATTTACATTTACAAATTGGAATCTATCAAATAAATATGATTTAAACCATTTTAGAGCCATACCCGTAATCCCAATATCATATTAAAGCCTTTGTAGTAGAAATATTGTGAGCAACTTTATCATATGCAGCAGAGGTCTAACAGGACCAGTATAGACACCTGTCCATTGAAATCCCCCATTATTATGACTTTATCAGTATTCAGTAATAAATCAGACCAAAAAATCTGAGAATTCAGAGAAAAACTGAGGATAAGGGCCTGTGGACAATGTTTACTCAGTGTTACATCATGTCTTTGAACACACAAGCATTGTTTATTTATGATTTTTTTTGGTCTATTGTTCACTGTCTAGTATGCTCCTGCGCTACGCTTTCTCTCGGCTGCGCTCCACTCAAGTTGCTGTGGTTCACTGCAGCGCCCAGACCTCATCACGCCACGTCCTACAGAAGCTCAGCCAGACATGCCTGTTGCTCAGCTCAAACACTGGCCGAGTGTTCAGACCAAAGGACTGTGAGAGTCTAGTCCTTTATTTAAAAGACATCAATCTACCCAAACCAGACAAATGGGGGACCAGCAACCTCACTGCCTTCCTGCAGCAGGTTAATTTTATAATTAAACTAAGATACAGATATGTTTCAGTCCAAATAATAGAGACAAACAAAGCACACTGACATGTTTTTCTTCTAAAATTCCTTCATGTTTTTTTTCTCCAGGTGTTGACATACAAAGGATTTTATGATGAAAATCTAGAGTGGGTGAGTCTTGAAAACATTCAGGTTGTGGCCTCCATGTCAACAGGGGGTGCTGTCAGCAGCCATGCCCTCACCTCCCGTTTCTCCTCAATTGTACGCATCTGTACCATAGAGTAAGTGACCATAAAAGTTAATAGCAATAGTTGTGCTTTATGTCTCTGTTTTACTTACAATTTTCCTCTCATATTAAACCAGATTCCCTTTCTTCTCCACACTTTTTCTCCCTCTTTTACCATTCCTTTAGTTATCCAAACAGAGAGCAGCTACAGACCATCTACTCGGCTTACTTGCAACCAGTTCTCCAGCATAGCCTGGGCAACCAAGCAGCCTGGGCCACCATAGGAAAAACTCACCAGTTGGCTGGGTTTTTTGTGCAGCTCTATGAACAGGTGCATGATTTGTTTATGGATATATATATATTTATAATAATTTATGCCTTGAGATATAGACAATATAAGCAGGACAAAAGACACTAAATCATGAATGTTATCTGAAACAAATTAAGTACACATAGGGGCATATATATTTTTTTGTATTAGACACAGGTATGCTTTGAAATTTGTGGTTTTGGAATAATTATCATTCATGTTTGCAAAACACATTTATCTTTTGCAAAAGTAATCCAAGCATACTTTTGTCACATTTATAACAAACTGTTCACTCACAATGCAACACAGAAAATATATTATTTGAAATTTTCTTAGATGGAGAGAATGTTCTATAAAACTTCTCTGACTGGCTAAAATGTCAGATATGTATGCTTTTGCTTAGACACGCTGAGGAAAAATTTCTTTACTACGCGGTTTGAAAGACTTAAGAATATAACAGTTGCCTAAGTGATATTTATTTAAAAGACAGACGGGTGCACTGCCATTTAGCTGTGTCATACAATCAAGTGGGTGATGTACATGTATAATATACATTCCAGATCATTTTGAACAATACATATTTTGATAAGTTGTGTTTATTTTATAATGCTTTTTGATCATTCTTGTTCATTTAGATCAAAACAAAGTTTACAGTGGATGACCACAGTCATTACCTGTTTACACCCTGCATCCTCACAGAATGGGTCCTCAGCCTCCTGCGGTATGATCTTACTTCAGGTAACGAAAATCAAAATCGTGAATTACCTTCAACTGAAATGTACTAATATGCTTTTGCACCTACCTGGTATGGTTAATGATTAAATACAGATCACTTTTAAAGGCAGAAAATCATTTTTTACATTATACACATAGTGAAGTTTTAATGTTTGCACCAAGTGTGGATGAAATTTTTTTCATCATGGTTTAATTTATTGCAAATAACATTTTGTATTTGTGGATGAAAATACTATTATGACTACTTGCAAATAAGGACATTTTATTTTGACTAAGACTTCTAAGCTTTGTATGTTATAGCTCACGAAGTGGGCAATTGGGCAAATATGGGTCATAAAGCCCTTCTCAGCTGATTGGTTCTGGGGTTTGTGCACACTCTGATCTTGAGTGCTTCCTGGAAGCTGACTGGCCTGTGGGTACCAATCTGTACAAATGACAAGCCCCCATATACATTTATACACCCGGTTTTGCATTTCACTTTTGCTACAGCTTTTGCAAACGTGTACTCTTTTGAACTTGTGATCTGCTATAGCAGCTACAATTCCTACAAAAGACTATGCTCGTTAGGTCATTTAATCCAGTTGTTTAGGTAATTCCACCACACTAGTCACGAGTTTCTGATTGAGACGAAAAAATATAAAATAATGAAGAGTTCTGCACCAGGGTAAAAAAAATCTTGTTTGTAGACCAGAAATGTGTAAAAATGATCAGATGCTTTTCTGAAATAGTGTAAGCAATTAATCAATGGAAATCAAAAGAAGACTTTTTCAGATTTGATCTGCTATGGCGAAAACAACAACAGCAACAAACAAAAAAAACAACAACAACACCCACATGCTCATGCTGTATGTTAAGAAGGGAGATTCTCATGGAACTTCGAGTGGATCCCGTCCTCCACCACACACACACAAACTTTTCTTTCCTACCTGATGCATCTTATAACCTCTGTAACTAACTAGTGAATATTCTCAGTCAATAACAGTTGTGACTTATCGATGACTATTTCAATAATGTTGATCTAACATAGATAAAATATACAGTTTCAAGTCATCCCTATATGATGTAAATGTTTACGAGTTTCTGTCCTGAGAAGAAGTAGCAGAAATATCTACAACATGAGCTCTATGTCATGATCGGCGGCCCCCGCTGGCCCCCCATCCCTCACTTCCCTGCCCCTTCATGACATGCCATGCTTTCTGCCCCTCTCCTTCATGTTTTGTTTATCCCTCAGCTCCTGTCATTGCTCACATCTGCTCCTGTCAGTTAACAGTTCACCCCCTCAGCCTATCACAGCAATCAGCCCTGATTCCACTCACCTGTTCAGCTCATCTGGTTCACCTGCTCTGCATCCTTTATAAGATCCATCCTCCCTCTCCACCAGTGCGAGATTATTACACCTCCCATGGTCCCTGATTTTCAAGCCTTCATAGTTTCATGCCTGAACCTCAAGCCTTGTTTTATTGGATTTTCGACCTCACGCCTTGCCTTCTGGATTTCCCGTTTTTTGCCTGCTCCTCATCTGGTTCTGTTCTGCCTCTCTGATCACGGTAACAACCTCCTCTTCAGTCTATGACCACGACTCTCGGATTATGTTTTTGGATTTTGAATCTGGACCTCTGCCTTCCTGTTCATGACCCCTGCTCTGACAACCGGACCCCGTTATTGTTTCAGCTGCTCTGCACAGGACCAGTGACGTCATTCGCTGCAGTCTTGACAGGTGACTCTCACTCCATCTGCCTGTGAAGACCTGTTAACACGCAGCTGATCCTGACTTTGCACCCACAGCCTATAATAAATAAACTCTGTACTTGTTTTTGCACTCCTGTGTCTGGCTATTTTGAATCCAAAACCCTGGTTGTGACACTCTAAAAATAATTACTTACTGAAAACAGGCACATGGATTTTTCTTTTAGTTGATGTATAAATGTCAAGATTTAAGACCTTTTGTGTAGTTTAGTGCAGAAAGAACAATTTGTTATGAATTGCTAAAAGCCAATTGTTTTTTTTTTTTCATAAAGTAAAAATCCAAATCATTGGTTTGCAGTTTTTTTTTTTATTTTTATTTTTTTACTTTTTTAATTTTTTTAATTTTTTTTTATCCAAAGCAATTTGTAAACAAAACCAGCAAGTTGAATTTAAAGACTCATTGCATTTTCTATTAACTTCCTAAAGTCCTTGTGTAAACGTGTTTTGCTGTGTAACACAACGCATTAATAACTCAGTTTTGATCCTTGAGCCCAACAAAGTGGCAGATGGCTTCATTTTAGTCTCTTGCTCAGCTCTTTCCAGCTTTCGTCTTGTATCTTTTCTGTCATTCTTCCTCTGCTCCCTGCTTTGACTCCTCTCTGTCACTCTTCTTGCTCATCCCCTTTTATCACCCCCTCCCTCTGCCGCCCTTTCATCTTTTCTTTCTCTGCCAGTCTTTTTCCTCCTCCTGCAATGTGTTCGTGCTGTGATAGAGAGTCCAATCGTTTATTTTAATTAAACATGTCAATAGACAAACTTCGCTGTTGCTATGCTTATCACTTTTAGTGAACTTTTTCTCCTCCTTCCTCCCGTTTTCCTGCCTTGCTGCCTACATTCTTTTTGGTATGTGGAAACTTTCTTTTTCTAATAATTTTATTACTGTGTTTTATTTATGTGAAATTGATTGTACATGCGATCAACTGCACAATGCACTTAGTTCTCTAATTTAGGATTTTTAAATACCTGGAATATGCCAAATAATTTTATCTTCTACTGTAACAGGCTATTTGAGAAATTGTTCATCTTGTTACACTGCCATGTCCAGCTGAAAAGATCTTCATTCTGACATTCACTTGGATCTTACTTTGACACTTGCTCCCTCCTTACTCGTGTTTGCAAATCTGCCATTATCCTTCACTTGTCAAAAGCATCCCATCTGTAATAGCAACTCCTCCTCAGTAAGATGGCAGTGGACCCAGCAAAAACTGCTTAGGGGCATCTGAAAGAGTACAACATTGACTCTGAGGGGTTCATCTGGCCAACAAATGTTTTATATACCAAACCCAAATGGAATTTGATCACATAAGAAACAAGTCCAATCCACAGAGACCCTACAATGCAAGGCCTAAGGAACAGTTGCTAACATCCTGGTACCAAACACTCCAAGACACCCACTGATGTTACTTTTCTATGCTTTAATTGGTCAGACCTGTTTTAGTAGCATAAGAAGGACCCAATTAGGACAGATATCTGTTTAATATCTTATGGCTGACTGATGTATAATTTTTCAATGTTTTAGATTTTTGTGAGCTATTGTTATCTAGTTGATTTATGTTCTTGGTTTTGTTATTTTCATAACATATATATATATATATATATATATATATATATATATATATATATTTTTTTTTTTTTTTGTCTTTGACTAACCTGTCCCTCAATAAAACAATTAAACCAACTTTGACACAATTTTGCATTAAAGTTAGACATACATTATATAGTTTGTGTGTAAATGTGTGCAGCCATCCTGTTAACATTAACTCACTCGTGTGTTCGTTCCATGTTTTTCCTTTTAGCTCATTCTAATTTGACAGACAGCATATTGGAGGTGGTGGCATATGAGGCCAGAAGGCTGTTTAGAGACCGCCTTGTTTCTTCCAAAGACCTTCACAACTTTGAAAACATCCTTTCCTCTCTCATACACGGAGACTGGGGTTCTGATGTTCTAGACAACATGACTGGTATGAAATCATTTTGTATTTGGCTATACATCAGCTTGACATTTATGCTTAGTGAGACGGATTCTGTTGTACTGTAGATGACTCTCTTGAAGCAGTTTATGTCAGCATTTACAGAATGCCACTCATGCCTGAAGGAAAACAGTAATAGATTACCTCAGAGCTTCTGTGACAGTTTTGCATATGGCATTGCGTTTGGCAATTTCTTTGCAAATGGTCTGTGTACATTCTGTAAACAAGGATGACATTAATTATTATTTTTTTCTTTTTCCCAGTTGGTTTGAATGATTCAAATCACATGACTTGCAAGTAAACTCTGTGATTAGTAATGTTTCCAATCTACTGATCAATAATATAATTTCACCAACTGGTGATAAAGCTGAATTTATTTCCAGTTATTGCAAGTTTGAGATGTTGTCACATAGATATGTTTTGCAATTGTAGCTGATAAAATATATTGTACTGGGCTCACTGTCTCGTGTGAGCGAGATATATGTTATACAAGAATATGGGTCTTACCACAGTGTTATCTGTTGTTTTCTAAGCTGTACTCTTTCTGCTTTTATGATGTGCACAAATACAATACTAATAGTATATAAAAACTTTTTTTGGGTGTGTGGAGATGGTTTCTATGTGTCGTGGGGAGCCTCTGAAGGTGCTGTAATGGCTCCAGGCCAGCTTCTGCCACCACATGGTAAACAACTGGGTCGCCTGGATTCTGCTGATTTAAAACAAGTTGTACAGAAGGTATGCTGTAAGGAAGGGTAACTTCCTTGATTCTTTGAACTACCAATTCACATATAAAAGTGTATGCTAAAAGGAAAGTCCGTTTTTTTTCTTTTTCTTTTTTTTTGGTGGGGAGGGGTCTTATATCACATGATGTTAAAACAGTGAAAGAAAATGATTTGCATTATGAAAGCTTTTGCTTTTGCTTTAGATTTTTTTGCCAATTTTTTTTTATTTTGAAAAATGATGTTATTCATCATTATTATCATTGTTGCCTTTAAAGCAGTGGTTCAGATATTTTGAAGCAGTGTTTCGTGGAAAAATTATGAACAATAATATCTTACCTTCTATACATATCTCTTTGAACAACCTTGATTTGGAGAAACAGTTTAAGTTTTAAAAGCTTGTCAAGCTAACAGCTAGTCTGAGTGGCCTCAAAATTATTGTGGATTGCTGCTCTCTTAAAAAGTGTTTCCTGTCTGAACATGTCATTGTGGATCATGTGAACACCATTACAAAACACCTTTACATTGCCTTTATTTCAAATTACCAGTATATGTTTATTTACATAGAATTCCAAAATTATTTGCAAGCTTAATTAGCTTCTGCAACACCTACTCGTAAGCACGTTGTGCAGCCTAGATTTTTCTTCTTCTTTCGACTTTTCTCTCTTCAGGGGTCTCTGCAGCGAGTCATCCTCCTCCATCTCACTCTGTCCTCTGCATCCTCTGTCCTCACTCCAACTACCTCCATGTCCTCTCTAACTGCATCCATATATCTCCTCTTTGGCGTTCCTCTTTGTCTTTTTCCTGGCAGCTGCAATTCTAACATCCTTCTACAAATATACCATCTGTCCCTCCTCTGGACATGTCCAAACCATGTCAGTCTGGTCTGTCTAACTTTATCTCCCAGTTGTTCAACCTGTGCTTTACCTCTGATTATCTCATTCCTAATCTTCTCCATCCTTGTCACTCCTAAAGAGAACCTCAACATCTTCATTTATGTCACTTCCAGTTCTTTCTCTTGTCTTACTGCCAATGCCTCTGTATCCAGACCATACAATATAGCTGGTCTCACCACTGTCTTGTAAACTTTTCCTTTGACCTTTGCTGCCACCCTTTTGTCGCAAATCACTCCTGAAACTTTTCTCCATCCACTCCATCTTGCCAGGACTCTCCTTTTCACCTCTTTACCACATTCCCCATTTCCTAGACAGTTCATCCCAAGTACTTGAAGTCCTGCACCTTTGTGACCTCTGCTCCTTGTAATCCCACTATTCCACCAGCCTCCCAGTATTCACACACATGTACTCTGTATTACTACGGCTGACTTTCATTCCTCTCTTTTCAAGTTCATACCTCCACCTCTCTAAGTTCTCTTCCACCTGTTCACTGCTCTCAACACAGATCACAATGTCATCTGCAAACATCATAGTCCATGGGGATTCCTCCCTGACCTCATCTGTCTTGTACCAGTCTAACATACTTCTCTGCCACTCTAGATTTCCTCATGTAATACCACACCTCCTCCATCGGCACCCTGTCATATGCTTTTTCCAAATCTACAAAGACACAATGACGTTCTTTCTGACCCTATCTGTACTTCTCCATCAGCATCTTCAAAGCAAATGCGGCATCTGTGGTGCTCTTTCTCAGCATGAAACCATATTGATGCTTACAAATAAGTAACCTCTCGTCTAAGTCTTGCTTTCACAACTCTCCGAGATCTTCATTGTGTAGCTCATCAGCTTAATTCCCCTGTAGTTGTTACAATTGTATATACATCACTTTTTTTCTTAAAAATGGGCATCAACACACTTGTCCTCCATTCTTCAGGCATTGTCTCACCCTGAAATATGCCATTGAATACTTGAGTCCAAAACCTCACTGCCATCTCTCCTGGACATTTCTAAACCTCTACTGGTATGTCACCAGGTCCAACTGCCTTCTCCTTCTTCATTCTCTTTAGAGCTTTTCAAATTTCACCCTAACTAATCTTTCCTACTTTCTGGTCCACAGTTTCTATGACATCTACTATTCTTTCTCTTTCACTCTTTTCATACATTAGCTCCTCAAAATACTCCTTTCACCTTACTGTCACGGTCTCCTCACTTGTTAGAACATTACCATTCCTATCTTTCACAAGCCTAACCTGTTTCACATCCCTTCCAGTATGATCCCTCTGTCTTGCCAATCGGTACAAGTCCTTCTCGCCCTCTTTAGTGTCGAGCCTCCTATACAACTCATCATAGGCCTTCTGCTTTGCCTTAGCCATCTCCCTCTTTGCTCTATGTACCATCTCCTTATATTCCTGTCTGCTTTCTTCTGTCATTTCACTGTCATATTTCTTCTTGGCAAAACGCTTTATCTAAATAGCTTCCTGCACTTCACTATTCCACCACCATGTTTCCTTATCATCTTTTCTCTGTCCATTTGACACACCATTTACCTTATTACCAGTCTCTCTAATTATTGTTGCTGTAATAGCCCAGTCATTTAGAAGCTCTTTTTTACCACCCAGAGTCTTTAACAGATCCTTTCTGAGCTCCTCGAAACATAATTTCTTCCTCAGCTTTTGCCATTTGGTCTTCTTCTCTGATTTTACTATTTTTCTCTTCTTCACAACAGTCATTCTACACACAACCATCTAATGCTGTCTGGCCACACTTTCCCCTGTCACAACCTTACAGTCCCCTGTCTCCTTGATCTTTCCTCTTCTACACATAATGTAGTCTACTTGTGTACTCTTTCCTCCACCCTTATAGGTCACTCTATGTTTCTCCCTATTTTAGAAATATTTGTTGACTATGCAATTTCCATTCTCTTGGCAAAATCCACCACCATCTGTCCTACTGGTTCTTTCCTTGACATCAAACCTACCCATCACTTCCTCATCTCCTGTTTCCTTCACCTGCATGTCCATTCAGGTCTGCTCTGATCACCACTCTCTCCTCCCTGGGAATATTGTCTGTAGAGATATACCTCCCGCTACATGTCTATCACTTCATCTAGATCCTTTCAAAATGTATCTTTCTCCTCTAAATCACATCCAACCTGTTGAGCATAACTACTAACAATTACCGTCGGACCTTCTACTTTTACCTTCTGCCACATCACCCAATCTGACACTCTTTTCACCTTTACTACATTCTTTACTAACTCCTCCTTCAGGTCCACCCCTACTCCATTTCTCTTTCTATCCACACCATGGTAAAACAGTATAAATTCTGCTTCAATGTTGTGAGACTTGCTGCCCTTCCACTTGGTCTCTTGGACACAAAACATTTACTTTCCAAGCATCATGTAGCCAGCTCTCTACCGTTGCCTGTCATTCTTTCTAAATTTAGAGTTGCCACCCTCAGTCCTACATTCTTGACATTCCTCTTCTCCCTCGGACTCCTGACGTTTCCCTCCACATAGTCTTTGACTAACAGTAGTACAGTTTCTGCCCTGCCCATACCTTGTTGTCAACAGCACCAGTGGTGGTCATTGTTGACCCGGGCCTAGACCAATCCAGTATGGTTTCACTTTGATTAACTCACATACTAGCTTAGGTACAAGTGTTTTACATCCAATGCTCTTCCTGACACAACCCTCTCCGTTTACCTTGGCTTGGGATCAACCCAAGAGATGCAATGGCTTGTGCTCCTTAGTTTGCTGGTTAGCCTAGCACGCACAGATAATGAATGTTCTTAACTTACTTTTTATGTATATGAATGCTTCTGTACAATGCCCTGAGATGACTTCTGTTGTGACTTGGTGCTATATACTGAAACTAAACTGAATTAAATTGAATTGAACTTCTGGCAGATATATAATGTTTTAACTTAATTAACCTAGCAATGCAAAGTTAACATATATCAATGCTTATAACAGTGTTTGGATAAACCACAATTTTTTTATTTTAAACTATTTTTCGACAGTTGCAATACTCTTTTTCCTTGGCCCAGCTCAGACTAGTCATTGGCTTGGCAGTCCTCTCAGAGTTTAACTGAATTTATCCTAATTGGAGTTATTGAAAAAAAGTTTTATTTAACAAGCAAGATAATAACTGATCATAATACCACAAAACTTTACTTCAAAATAAGTGATTTAAGATTGCTCTTATCAGTTACCACTTTTCTCCTTCTATTTGACTAATTTTGTTCCTATTTTCACATTATTGTATCATTCCTTTTTTCATCCGGTAGGGAGTAGTTCTGTACAGTCGTGACAACAAAGAGTTGGACCTTCTCCTGTTCTGGGAAGTGTGTGACTTTGTGGCCAGGGTGGATCGAGTACTGAGCCGACCTGGTGGCTCCCTGCTTTTGGCAGGGCGGAGTGGAGTGGGCCGACACACAGCCACATGCCTGGTGTCACACATGCATGGATACACACTGTTCACACCCAAAATCTCCCGTGGTTATACTCTTAAGCATTTCAGCAACGATCTGAAGACGGTGAGAAAGACTGTTAGCCTAACTGGTTGACATTAAGCCTCGTAACAATAAAACCATCTGCAGAATGATATTAAAGATAACCAGATAGTTTCTGCGAGTTTTTTTTTGTTTTTGCTCCTGTTCAACCATTTTGACGTGTGTTTATATATTTATGTTAAACACTACCTGTTCTTAGTATAAAACATACATTATTATTGCTGAAGAAATTTTTTTTACATGTGTAGATATCAAATATTGTTGTGCATGTATCAGATGTATATTTACTGTCTGTATGTTTGTTTTTTGCTCAGGTGATGCAGCTGGCAGGTTTGGACGGCCAACAGGTGGTTTTACTTTTGGAGGATTATCAGTTTGTCCACCCAGCTTTCTTAGAGATGGTGAACAGCTTGCTGTCATCAGGTGTGTGCTGCTTGGGGTTGTTGGTGTATCACTACTTTTATAACATCAAATCTGACTTTGTGGACTTCATGACTGAACTTCAAAAATTTGGATTCATTTACATCAAAACACAGATTTGAGATTTACATGTAATTTTATGCAAATAACAAAGGCAGTCATGTAATTCCAAAAACACTGAACTATTCCTTTCCTTCAAAGCTGATTGTAGCTAAGCTAAGTTAAAAAAAAAAAAAAGTAACATAATTTTTATTTTACCGGGCGATGCCAGGCTGCAGGCAAGGGACAGTCCCTAGCCATGCCGATTCCTGGCTTTATTGACGTGGCGGGTAAGGAGCCGCTTGTGTTTTGAGGTTGAATGATACCACCTAGAAATAGTTGGACTCCACTCTACGCACAGCTTTGGCTCTGGAACCATTCTCTTGGAGAGAGGCTTGACTCTCTTTTACTCTGGAGTTGCCCAGGGCGTGAGGCGTCAGGCAGGTATGGGAAATCGTACAAGCCCTCAACTGAATTTCTTGTTGTTGGCGTTTCCCTTGGCAGCTAGAGCTAAGGATTAGGGTGTTGTTTGTGTTTATGCACCAAACATCTGTCCAGATGTCTTTCTGATGTCTCTGGATGGTGTCCTGGAAGGGCTGTCATCTGGGGATTTTATTGTTCTACTGGGTGACTTCAGTGCCCATGTGGGCAATGGTGGGGTTATCTGGAAAGGGTTATTGGGATGAATGGCCTCCCTGATCTGAACCCGGATAGTGTTTACTTATTGGACTACTGTGCTAGGCATGGGATGTACATAACAAACACCATGTTTGAGCATTGGGTGGTCCCTAAGTGTACTTGGTACCAGGCCACCTTAGGCCAAAGGCTAATGATGAAATTTGTAATTGTGTCATCAGATCTGTGGTCCTATGTCTTGAACATTCAGGTGAAGGGAAGGGAAGAGCTGTCAGTTGAACACTACATGGTGGTGTCCTAGATCTGGTGATGAGGGAGGCTGCTAGACAGACCTGGTAAACTCAAATGCAAAGTGACAGTAAACTGGCTATGTCTGGTGGAGCCCCCTGTCCATATGACCTTCAACTCACACCTTTGGGAGAGTTTTTCACATTTCCCAGAGGATGTTGGGGACATGTAATCCAAATGGGCCACATTTAGGGCCTCTATTGTAGGGGCACTTTCCAAGAGCTGTGGCCTGAAGGTCACTAGTGCCAGACACAACAGCAACCAATGGACTTGCTGGTGGACGCCAGCAGTGATGAAGACCCTCAAGCTGAAAAATGAGGCCTTCAGGGTTTGGTTGTCCTGGAGGACTCCTGAAGCAGCTGCCAGGTACAGCGTGGCCAGAAGAACTGCAGCTTGCGGGGTTAAAGATGCAAATACTTGGGTATGGGAGAAATTTTGGGAGGCCATAGAGAAGGACTTTCAGTCCTCAAAGAGGTTCTGGCAAACCGATAAAAGAAAGCAGGCCCCAGCCCCTGGCTGTGCTTGGTTTTGGTGGGAAACTGCTGACCTGTACTCAGGATATTGTTGAGCAGTGGAAGGAGCACTTTGAGGTTCTCCTTAATCTACCCACTATGTCAACCTTTGAGGAGGCAGAGTCTGAGGACTTGGGGAAAGATAAATCCATTACTATGGCAGAGGTTACTGAGGTACAAGATGAGGTTACTCATCTTGAGTCATCATGATTGATGGTAGGAGCAGGCTCAACGAATTGGGGTCTTGTTCTCAGTCATCAGTGTTGCTTTCTGTCAGTTGTGGTGAAGGAAGAGCTGAGTCAAAAGGCAAAGCTCTCTATTTACTGGTTTGTCTACATTCCAACGCTCACCTATGGCCATGAGGTTTGGATCATGACTGAAAGGATACGGGCGATCAAATTGATCTTCCTTTGCAGGGTGGCTGGGCTCAGCCTTAGAGATAAGCTGAGGAGCTTTGTCATCTGTGGGGAGGTTGGAGTAGAGCCATTGCTCCTTCTCGTCAAAAATAAATAAATAATGGAGTTGGTTCAAGCATCTGATAGGATGCCTCCTAGACACCTCCCTTTAGAGGTTTTCTGGGCACATCCCACTGATAGGAGGCCCTGGCGAAGACACAGAACTTGCTGGAGGGGATGTGCAACTTCTCTGGCCTGGGAATGTGTCGGCATCCTTCAGGAGAAGCTGGAAAATGTTATTGGGGAGCGGGATGTCTGGGTTTCTCTTATGGACTTGTTTCCTCCGTGACCTGACTATGGATAAGCAGTAGAAGATGGAGATGAGATGGAGATGGATTTAAAAAGTGAAGAAATCTGATAAACTGACTAAAAGCCAAAGCTTAAGCCAAAGGTACTCCGGTTTCCTCCCACAGACCAAAAACATACATGTTAGACTGATTGGTAACTCTAAATTGTCCCTAGGTGTGAGTGAGAGAGTGAATGGTTGTTTGTCTCGTTATGGCCCTGTGATGGACTTGCGACCTGTCCAGGGTGTACCCCGCCCCTCGCACAGCGATTGCTGGACATGGGCACCGGTGACCCCAGTGACCCAAAATGGAAGAAGCGGGTAAAAGATAATGGATGGATGGATGAATAACACAAACCACAAAGTGAAATTATTGTCACACAGCTTGTTGTGATTATTTTATCTTAAATGTTTTTAAGCTTTGGGGTATATTTTTTTTTATTATTTTTGGGTTCCAGGTGAAGTTCCAGGTCTGTACAGCCCAGAGGAACTAGAACCTTTACTCTCATCATTGAAAGATGCTGCTTCCCAGGATGGATTCACAAGGCCACTCTATGATTACTTCTCGTACAGTAAGTACAGCTTAACTGTGTGAATGCAAACTCAGAATTTCTACTTTTATCTACTGTTTTGTTGCTTTTAACTTTTAGCTTCTATTTTTGCTACTTTTATCTTTTTGCTAGCATTTTGCTACGTTTTGCTTTTAGTTACATTTTTGCTACTCTTAGCTTTTAACTAGCTTTTTGCCACTTTTAAATTTTAGTTACTGTTTTGTTGCTTTCAGCTTTTTACTTCTTTTCTGCTCTGTTTAGCTTTAATAAGCCTTTAGCTACATTTAGCTTCTAGCTTGCATTTTTAAACTTTTAGTTTTTAACATTTTTTTCTTCCTATAGCTATACCTTTTTTGCTACTTTTAGCTTTTAACATTTTTTGCTACTTTTAGCTTCTAGCAGTCATTCAGCTTTTAGCTATCGTTTTACTACATTGAACGTTAAGTTACCCCTATGCAAACAACTAACTTTTAGCATAGCTTTTAGCCTACCCTTTTGCTGTAAAGCAATAGCTAAAAACTAATAGCTATTGCTTGGCTCCTTTTAGCTTTTACTTACTGTTGTTCTTCTTTTGGCTTTAAGCTTTCCTTCTGTTCTTTTTAACATTTGTTCTGCTCCTTGTAGCACCTGTTCTCTCAGTTTTAACTTCAAGAGCTTCCTTTTCAGCTTCATCAGCAAATTTCAGCAGCCAGCCATTCAGCACTCAGCAGTCTACACTGCATTTTCACAGAGAATGTAATTTTTTAGTTATCAACAATATAGTCGACATACCGGCTAACTTTTTGTATTCACAGGTTTAAACATTTTCAGTGTTTATCAGTATAGTAATATTTTCAATGATTATCAAAATAGTAATATTTTTAATGTTTATCAATATAGTAAATGTGTATTTTTCCTCCTTCTTCTGTTAGTCCATTAGAAAAATGTAACTTTCCTTTCCAAGTTGTTCTTTTCTTTGATTTTTATCTGGCTCTTCTGCCCCCTGGTGTGCAGCATTGTGGGCTGTAAATATGGTGCCATGTCTCTGAAACTGAAGCAAATTAAATCAATAACTCTAGTTTTTTTGTCACAGTTAACCACCCAAAGAGCCCTCAGCTCACTTTCACTTTCCAGTTTTCTGGCAGGTACAATGTGAGAGTATCAAAAGCACAAAAACTGTTTGCCACAAAATTCTTACTTTTATATTTTAGGGTTAGGGTTTCTGCAGTTTTACTTTTCTTAATAGCAATGCATTGTTTTTCCTTTTCTATTTCAGGAATCCAACAGAACCTCCACATTGTTTTGATCATGGATTGCTCAAATTCTAACTTCACTATCAACTGTGAAAGCAACCCAGCTTTCTACCGCAAGTGTTCTGTCCAGTGGATGGAAGGATGGTCAGACAACAGCATGAAAAAGGTTGGCGTAGAACAATAAACCCAAGCTGCATTGTCTGCAGTGTCTATTTTCTTGACAGTTTTCTTATTATTCACATCATTGTTGTCTATGTACTGTAAATCACAACTTTCTGTGTGTAAACTTGTACGTGTGACTGTCAGATTCCTGAGCTACTGCTGACAAAAATGGAAGGAGAGGAGAGTGAAAAAGAAAAGGCCACTAATCGAAAAAGTTCAGGTAGGAGTAGAAGTGAAATTTCAGAGAGATTTGTGAATGATTTGGAATATGAAACTTTTTACTGTTGGCTTGTTGGTCATTTCCATGTACTGGTAACTTCCAGTTCATCAGTGAATGTATAGTTTTATTTTTTCCCCAATATTTAAGATACATTTTACTTATGGTACAATAAAAGTCACTCATGTCTTGAAATGGTTTTCACAAGAGATAAAATAAACCAAACTGATTTATTCATGGAAAGTTTACTTTTATGCTATGGGTATCATTAAATAACTTGAAATTGTTTAATTAAAGAATGTGTTTTAATAACTGTTTAAGATTGTATATGTGCAATTAAAAAAAGTACTGTAGTAATCATAAAGTACTTCAGAAGCCTTATAGCCTATTCACCTTGAGTTGCTTGCGTTCATTATGTAATGAAAATGATTATGTATTTTAGAATCGGTTTATGCCTTAAAGCAGTTTCATTCTTGGCTCCCAGCAGGGTCTGAGCTTGGAGACCTTGGCCGTTTGTTCCTAACAGTCCATGAGTCATGTAGGGAACATGGTGCGACACCAAGCCAGTACTTGGCCTTTCTGCACGTCTACACTGCATTACATAGCCGAAAGCAAAACCAGCTTACTACAAGACAGCAACATCTACAGGTAAAAGGTCACCACTACTCCATATGGTGCAGGTTCACCAAAACATGTCCTACTTCTGTCTCCTGTTCTTAAGCTTTACTAATACTTTTCATCAAACAAGTAAGAAAAATGTATTGTTTTAATTATATGTCTGATTGTTTGTGTGTGTTGTGAAATATAAAGCTTTAACTTTTGTGTACGTTTTTTAAGCTGCCAATTTTATTATAGTTTTCACTTATACTTTTAGGTCACAATTACTGACTTTATTACGCAATTTTTTTATTGTTAAATTTTTGTTTTTGCCGTTTTTATATCTGTATATTATAAGTTTATAATTCTTATTTAGTGTACATTTGTACATTTTCTGCTGGTAACAAATTTTAGGCTTCACAAAGTCAGCTAAGCTTAAATATGTCCCTTGTTTAGGTGGTACCAGGTACCTAACTCTAATTCAGGTACCTGGTGGGTACCTCAGTCTAAATGTAACTGAGCAGTAAAGTCAACAGCTGATAATTTCAGTAGAAAATCATTTGCAACTTTGATTTTTATAATTGGTGCTTCTCGCTGCTTCTCCATGTCGAGAGGAGCCAGTTGAGGTGGCTCGGGCATCTGGTTAGGATGCTTCCTGGACGCCTCCCTGGTGAGGTGTTCCAGACACGTCCCACCGGGAGGAGACCTAGAGGAAGACCCAGGACACGCTGGAGGGACTATGTTTCTCAGCTGGCCTGGGAACGCCTTGGGATTCCCCCGGAGGAGCTGGACCAAGTGGCTGGGGAGAGGGAAGTTTGGGCCTCCCTTCTTAAGCTGCTACCCCCGCAACCCGACCCCGGATAAGTGGAAGAAAATGGATGGATGGATTTTTATAATTACCTTTAGTAGTCAGTTTTTCTGCTAAGTAGAAACTTTTACAATGAAAAATTGATATTGTGCAAATTACACAACGTTGTGTTAAATATTAGGTCTGTCCCACGCTGCATTTTCTTGTGTCTACAGGCCGGTGTGTCGAAGCTGAATGAAGCTAAAGCTTTGGTTGATGATTTGAAGAGGCGTGCTGCTGAGCAGAGTGCACTGCTGAAAACTAAACAACAGGAGGCAGATGCTGCCCTGCAGGAAATCACCATCTCCATGCAGGTGTGTGTGTTTTGTGTCTTGCTTGCTGGTGTGTGCATGCATGTTTGTGATTGTCAGCGGGAGGCAGGACTGTCCTTCTGCAGGGTCTCATACCTCCACCAACTTCCCTCTGCTGTACTCAGTTATTATATTCAAAACATTCTTCAGACTTTTCCTGCTGCATTTTTCCCTGCAGTGAATACACTTTTTATTTGTTGTGTGAACACTTATTTACCAGTGTTTATTTTGCCTTCTCAGTCACCATTTTCTATCTTGTGATTCCCTTGTTTGTTTCTTTTTACTGTGTCTTGAGGACAGAACATGAAGACTGATGAACGTGAGATAAACCCTGTTCATTAGTCTTTTTTTTTTACTCTGTGGGGAATTTGTTTCGAGTTAGATGGAATAAGGAGGAAAATACAAAAAAAGAAAAGGACAGCCAGTGGAGACAGTTTGCAAAGAGATAATTAACAACCAGAATCATCTGGTTGGTGTGTAGCAGCTACGCCGCCTGTGGAGATGGAGACAGCAGGAGAGGGAGAATAGGGATATTTGGGACAAGATGAAAACTTGAAACAAACTAGAAAGATCAGTGACTAAAGTTTTGTATGGATAGAAACAGTTAGATTAGGGAACAGTAAAGTAGAGAAGAGCAGATGGTTTGTAGAGAAAATAAGAAATAAGTTTTATACTGCAAAAGTCACCTTTTAACTTTGAAAGAGTTTGAAGGTTGTAGAGAATGTCAATAACCAGATTAGCTTTGGACAGGGATGTGATGTGATAATAAGGATAGATGATGTACAGAATGGCCAGAGAAAGCAAGTGTGGGAAATTAAGTAGCCTAACATTATCTGCCTCTTTCTGGCTAATCCTAATCCTGAATCCATGTCTGTTTAGAGTACTACA